CCAGAAAAAAATCTAGAGACACGTTATCTGTCAAGAAAGAAAGAACCTAAAATACTGAGTGCAAGGAGAAAGTCCAAGAGCTTGCAATCAAAAGATGTAACCCGTTTTTTTTTTCGCTTTAATGTTAACCCTCCCTGTCAATGCAAAACCTACCAGAGGTTTTGGCTCTTAAAAGGAAAGACGTTTAGCTTATAGAGCTTATAGTTGGTACTGTTTGTGTGAGCGACCTTTCAGGAAAATGTAAATAGTATAACACGCAAATCATTTACAAGACCCACTTATGGAAAACGATTTTATGGAAAGGTATAAAAGACATCCGGCTAAACCCATCTTAACCCACTGTTTAATAGATACTTTCTCTACTACGAAAATGAAAGCTTTAATTTTTCGTCGGCAAAAGTGATTGTTTGGCTTGTCAAACTATTTAGGACCATTTTATCAAAACAATAAAAGATCATAATGCAAAATTTAAAGATAAATTTATTTTCACTGCACGAAGTCCCATAAGAACATCACGGTAATATGTTAAGAGTTTATAATGGATGAAACCATGCCATGTAAACTAATATAACTTTTGATTCTGTGGTCGAAATCTTAAGATGCCACATTCAAATGAGAAATCTTGAGCATTACTTTGATATGATACTTGTTTATTTCTGGGTATTTTATAAACTTGGAAAATTTCGTGAATTTACCTTTGACCACCAATACACTGATTAAAGTTTAATAAGTGTTAACTTAAAACAGCAAACAGCTGGCAGTAAAGCAGCGTAAAGCGCAATTAACAGCCCCTATTGCTTTTGGGCCCGCTTATTAAAACTTCCTTTAAGAAAAAACTCAAATAAATTAAAACCCATTCTTAATTTAGGGGTAACATGGCTGTTGTCGAAAACAAAACACAAAAATAAAGAAACGGTTTAGCAAACTTTTAAATGTATTCTAATATATTTATAATCTGTGAATTGAATTCGGCACGGCAGTAGCGCGACGTTTAAACCAAGTCGAGCTACTGCCTTGTAGCACGGCAAAGTTTGCCGTGCTACACGGCAGTAGCACGACAAATAATTCAAATACAACAGGATTAAAAACCCCAACTGGCAGGAGGCAACCAGTTGGCTTTTTACAAGCGTGGCCGAGGATTTGAACTCGAGACGACTGAGAACAAATCCAGAAAGTGGCCAGAGCGGGACACGAACCCGGGACCGCAAGACTGCGAGTCCAACGCTCTGATCACTTGGCTACGCTGCCTCCATTTTATCAAACGATTATTGTTACAAAAAAAAAACATTTTTTCTTACATCAATTCAGGTGTCCATTTTTTTTGTCAAGTTTTGCTGTCGAAAAGGGTCAAAAGGACGGGCTTGAAAAATAAGGAAAATAAGCACTCTAGAAAATTTCACCTAGCAGGGTTTATTTTCTATTGAAGCCTGATTTTTAGCGATGCGGAAAGCACTCGGAGAGAAAGAATCTTCATTTCCTTTACGAAAAAAAGGGCTGAGACACAACCAGAAGGATCGAAATATTCCCTTTCGTGCGCGTACTTTCGTGTTGTTGTCAGTATTCAAGTGATTCAGGACTGTTTATGCTTACGTGCTCGGGTACTTTATTATTGCGTGGCCAGTGAAAAGTAGGCTTTATTTAACAATTATTCCACGAGTGCGCTTTGGATATGAGTTGGCTATAATCATCTCATATCCAACAAGCGCGAGTGGAATCATTGTTTTATTAAAAACGCCCACAACATATCGAGAATTCTTCCCGGCTTTATTTGTAAAAACTAGGGTATCTAAAAGACAGTAATGCTGCGGCACATTCTGTTGATACTGGCATTAGTTAGGCAGTGAGACTTAAAAGAATCGAAAATGACATTGAATGTCCTATTTACATGTTGGAAAGTACTAGAATAATATTACTATCAGTCTATAGAAAGAACTCGTGGGAACGTTGTTTAGAAAATGATCAAGTGGTTATCAACTCTGGTTTTCCCACAGTAAATTGTAGGAAATAATAGAAATTCAGATTGTTTATCCATATATCTAATATATGGTGTACTATCTTTTCTCTGGAAACACGATACTTTTCTTGCTGTTTATTGCACTTTATTAAGTAACAGTTATTTAGCTATATATTTTTGGAAAACAACAACACAAAAAAACGAAAAAAAAAAAGAAAGAAGGAAAGAAAGAAAGAGTACGGTACGACTCGCACCTGGCACCATCGGCTCTACACGACTACACCTAACCACTCCACCACAGAGACTGATTACGTAATTCTGGGAAAAGTCTTTTATTTAATGCCTTTTCCATGAAACTTCCGCCAGCAAGATGATCGCCAGCCGCATTAATCGAGCTATTAACAGTAAAAAAACAATGTAAACGCATAATCCATGGAAATGAATGAATGAAAGAACATAATTATGCTTCACAAAACGCCAATACACGTCCTCGTCTGCAACGTAGGACACAAAACATATGTTTTGTCATCTCGATTTCCGCTGTTATTTTGAAGCGAATGGTCAAAATTACATCCATTTTCGGCTCATACAGGGTTCTTAAGAATAGCATGGCATGACATTTTCTCACTTTCACATCACTTTCTAGCAAGCTGGAATTTGTATATCCCCCGTGTTGCGGAGTCGAAGAGCAAATGCTCATCTTCTCGTCAGGATTAACATGCCTGGACAAGTCAAACGCTCTTGAATTGATCGAAATCCATATCCCCAAGTTAACCATCGTACTCATCTGAAAGACTCCTGCGTGTCTTAAATTTGGTAAGACCTCTAACCGTGCTTTCAAAAATTTGCTACAAAGAAAGCTCTGAGTCTGGGCAGCAAACGATGCGAACTTCCCCGTGTTTTTATTTGAGTTGTTCGTGGCGCAATGCACTCTGGTTAAATGCAATGCATTGTGGTAAAAATTGTGGTTAAATGCAATTCATTGTGGTAAAAAGTGATGAATTCGAGAATTCGTCGCCCCTTATATACTTCCCTTAAATCCTGATTATGTTGCTGCTCGCTACCTACGGTCGCTCCGCAGCAACAACCGATTTTCAGCTTGTTTTTAATTTTGAGCAGACGCGTACAGTTACCGTATTTGGAAAGCATGGTATAATATGGCTCATATACCATGATGGCTAAGCCAATCAGAGCTCTAGAATTGCATTATCCAATGATTCAGTTTTCAATAATGATTAATATCTTGGACCAAAAACGAATTCAAATAACAACGCTGCTTTGTAAGGTTTTCAAGTTTCAATGAAGAAAGTTCTTGTTCAAGGGTAAAGCATCATCATAGTTCATCTGAAGACGGAAAATAAAACCATTCAGAAGTGGAAACATAATAAAAAATAACATTTTGCAGGTGTGGGCCAAGCTAAACACAAATACAGAAATGTACTATTCCAAAAGAAGCGTTCATTTGTACAAAAAATCTTTATCTTTTTTGTATAAACTCAAAATTAAACCACCTTTCCACGTTGTAGAAATGTCAGAAAAATTGGTGAAGAAAAAAAGTAAGTTGGTTTAATTGTATTTTTTTTTTCAGTCAAATGCAGGAAAGTGAAACCGTTTACAGAGGTACTTTAGCTAGTTACTTTCCGAGAGACTGAGAAGAAATTCGGATTATTTATTCTACTGTCAAGTCTGGCTTTTGCTTTTAACTCAGTCGTATTGCTGGGTTAGGGATAATTTATGAGACATAAAGGACCCATAAAGTAATGAGACTATAACTGGCAATTGAAAAGTAGTTTACGGCAGTCTGTCGAAACATGAAAGCTAAAGTAGGGTCAAAATAGGGCCATTGAATGCCGCATTTCTTTTGCAAAGAGTGAGAAAAAAACATGAAAAATAAAATGTACTTATACTCATATTAGCAGCTTTTTATGTGCAGTTTTATTAATGAGCAAAGGACCTTAGATATACCCGTACCATCTTTGCAATATTCTTAAAGAATTGTCACGTGGTTTCTCAGGAAACAAACACTGGTTGACGAAAGCTGCCAATACAGCTAATCGAGGTTGAGTTTCTTCTAGACAACAAAATATGAAAACCGACCTGCACAAGCAATGTTACAAAATACAAAATGGCAAAATATGGGTGGAAGAGATCATTATGTCGTCTTGGTTTAATTCAAACAAAGAACCTTTGATTTTTTCAAAGGTCAGCAATAGTGACCTAAAACTCGACGAAACGCAATGTGTACATCTTGCGTTTCTCATGTTGAGTAAATGAACAGGCTATTGCGATTGCTTGAATGGGCGGTCGATTAATTCATGAGAAGTTGGGTGTCGCTTACTAGTAGTTGTCGGTAGTTTTTAGTAAACACTTTTAATACTATTCATTTGTCTGTACGCACACAAAACAAGTAAAATTTCCAAATATATTACTTCGGATAAAAAGTTTGTCGTAACACTGCACGTATTGTTAGCCCCGTGTTTTGGATAAGTCTCTCATTGATTGCAGAGTCTTGCACCATTTTGTAGTGAATAAAAATATCAGCGAGAATTATGATACTAAAGAAAAGTTAAAAAGGGGAGTAAGTCTTACTTTTATAGTTTTCTGCCGCGCAAGCTTTGGAACCGTAGTGTTTATAATAGACCTATTCGGCTAACTCAATGTTGTACCCAATTCAAACCCTTTGGGAATAAAACGTTTTGTTTCAGGAATTTACATATCATTTAAATGTGAATGCCACATTATAATGCAAATGCAATACACAGAGAATCTTATCCCCGGGAGATTTGAATTGGGTACAACATTGAGTTAACCGAATAGGTCTATACTCAGGAATAAGTGGGATCGACTTTTTGTAATTTCAAGTAAAGATGAGGAGACCGTTTGTGGTGCGTTGTGTCAAAAATAGATTGATGAAATTGATGGAGACAATCTGAGAGACAACAACCAACACTGTTATTTTTGTAAAAGGTAGAGGACTGGAAGTCAGAATGCACGTAAAAAAACATCTATTTTTCAATAAATTTTTTTGGCTATTGTTGTCTTTGTTTTAACAGTTTTTATTCCAGCAACGTTCAGCTTGTACACGTGTCCCAAGGCACTTCTTCCCACCATACTTCGGGGGTGGATCGTCACACAGCCTGGATCTGAAACGATGGCCAGGTCCACAACTTACACCGCAAGAAGACCAGGATGACCAGCGACCCCAGTGACCTGGTATGGGGGCTACAAAAGTAAAATAATTCATGCCCATTACATGATGATGATGATGATGATGATGATGACACAACAAAATCGCTCAGAAGGTCGTTAATAAAAGTTTCGTTGTGCCCTTATTTGTATGGAGCGACATAAAGGATCATCAGTTCACGTCTGACACACAGATGCGAAGATCTCTAAATCAACAAAATATTCATAAGGACAAGGGAGATTTGCTTATATCAGCGGCTATACTGAGATATCAGGCTCCAGCAAATGTTCAAACGTCACTTTATCTACGTCACACCCAATGGTCCATTTAACACAATACGGACTTACCATAACACTCGTTAAGCGAACAAGTTTCTGTTTGTTTTTGGATTCCATAGGTACCCACCCCATAACACTGATTCCGATCACGTGACATGCAGAATCTCTGTCGTATCTTCTGGCACCGGTCGTTGCAAGGACCAAACTTTGTCCACGAGCTCCAAGGATGTGAACTGTCAGCTGTTCGAATTCAGAACAAACACTGATGTCTTATGACAGAAGAAAAAGGATTATTACTTCCAATCTTAAGTTGATCAGCGCATTTTAGGACACGCGTGGATAACTGTAAAACCTCTGGAGCTTTAAATAGATAGCGATCCGCTCATTTCAGACGTTCCAAAACAAAACATTGTAAATTGAGGATAGCCGTGAGCTATCATGCGTGGTTTGGAGGTACATTGCATTGAAGTTTGTGCTGTTTCTAGAAGCTCAATTCTACGGTGGGTGTGATTATTTTAACACCAATAGTTCTTTATTTGGTAAATTTAAATTTTTTTGGCTCATATCATTCCTTCATACAGCCTCAGTCCTATAGAAGCTAAGGGATACTTGGGGCTAGCACACGCGAAGTCACAGAATTGAGAAGAACTTGAATTGTATGTTGTATCTTAGCTATTCATCGCAGAGGTTAATCATTCAAACTTATCCCGTCAGACGCCGTCATTTTTCCTGAAAAGCCCCTTTGGGGAGGTAACAATAAAGTATGTATGTATGTAAAGTATGTATTTTTCATGGTTTTGTGGACTTGCATAGACGGTGCACAGCTATCGGCAACAGCATTCCAATCATTTTGTTTTTCTAAACTGCCCAGGTTTACTTACTTTTACAATCATACAGTGCATTCAGCTGCTGAATGTCCGTCTCACTAAAACCTTTCCTCTGACCAAACTCCACGCCGGACTGTTTAAGAGCTTTTATAGTACGCTTGCCATTCTTGGAGAAGGCGCGACTCCCATAATGCATCAGACTTTGGAAGTCATACATGGCACCAAGATAATCGAGCTTACCGTGCGAATACTTATTAAAATTGTGAGCTTGACCTGGGAAACAAAAAAAACTTATGAAATGAATAAATAAATGATGAGCAGAAAATACTGCTCGGCTTTTACCTCCCCAACTCTTACCCTTTTCCCAGGAATCTACCTTTAAATTCCTGCTACACCGAGATAAAATCTTAACTTCCAGTTGGAGCTTTTCCGCCGACATGGCCGATGGATCAAAAACTGGTCAGCTTTATATACCGATCTATTGATGAAACCGAGTTGCATGCCGTTTTTTTTTTTTTTTTTCATCCGGCGACCGAAATACTGCTAAATATGCTTGGAAAGATACAAATTTTAGGAATCAGATAGGATAATGAAACAAGATAAAGAAGAAAATGAGAGAGAAAGAAGAGACAGTCCTCACGACAGGTTATTCCCGGTTGGTTTGCGAGATGGTACGTATTTCTATTTTAAAAGGAGAAACTAACCTTTGGCAACATTTTCCCACAGTACCTCCACGTACTTGTTTCTGTCTGTTCGGGATTGTTCATGCCAAAATCCAACTGCATGCATTAACTCGTGCATTATTATACCTTTCTTATCACATCCGGGACCTACAGAGAGGAGCTGAGGGCCAGATGAAGAGAATTGCTTTCCTACGCGAGACCAACATCTAAGAAAATTAGAATAGCGACTATTAACTTAGAAGAAAACTAGAAAATTTTCGATTATTAAGCCGCAATGAAGACGTGTTTGAGGTTATATTTTAGTTGAAAACTAGGTAGGTAAGGTTTTTTTTGATCCTCACAATGGATGACGGATATGTGAACCAGACAGTGCCTTACATCATTCATTTTTCAAAGGATCATCTTGTGGACGTCGGGTTAGACCGAGGAATGCATGGGTTCTTCTTGTCTTTTACCAAGAGCCATGGCTCTATTGCTTTTACTCATTTTAAGCAGTGATCTGAGTTCATCTTTGTTTTCACGATAACAAGGACGCGACTTGGATCACCATTTGGTTAGTCCCAGTTCCTCTGATCACTGTGGCAAAGCCCTTCATAAAAACATGTAATAATATATGAAAACCACGTATATTCAATATTTTTGTGACATTTTTTTGTCGCCAAAACAAGGAGACGGGATTAATTTGGCATCCAGTCGATTTGAAGAGGGCGATTTTGAGAGCTTTAAATTCTTACCCATGCCTTTTTACGAATCGAATCCAGGATCGCTCTTTCCCGCGAGGCTTGAAGCGTAAACAAGTGTGTCGGTGAAACTCTTTGATGGCTGCCATAATGACGCTCTTGGCACGATCTGCAAAGGATTGAAAAAAAAAGAAAGAAAGATAAAGATAAAATAATATTAATAAATAAACAAACGAGTACTGTAAAATCTATCTTCGTTCAGTTGGGCTCTTATTGGAAAAGTCTTCATTGCTGGAACGTTTTTCGGAATTTCAAACAAATAAAATTGATGATGATGATGACGGAAAAAGACTGCGGACAGAATGACAGAGTCTCTGGACGACTACATATAAAAAAGTTGCACGAAAGTGAGGTAATTAAACGATTAGAATTAGAAACCTTATTGTTCATCGACATAGTGCGTTTGTCAGATGGACAATTTTGACGGCCGCAGAATGGATATCTGCGGAGAAAAGGTAAGAAACAGAAGGAATGATCGGAGTAGCGTAAGAACAGGCCTCATTGAAATGCCACATCAACAAGACAAATGACTCCCCTGTCTAGATTATGCAGTGAAGGCTCAGAGAGTGTGTGTGGCGCATAGTTAGCGCAACCGAAGTGTAGAAAGCGTGGTGAAAGGCAACATTAAGAGTCCATTAGGAAGTAAGTAGGGGACCCGTGACCTGAGGAGAGAAGTCAGTGGTATGAGCACCCACAATCGCGGTTTTGATTCATACTAAAACTTCTGAAACTTAAAGTGTACCTTTATTAAGCAGAAACCCGAGCGGGTATTTAGCCACCTAACAGGTTACACTGTATATTGAGGGTTGCCTCTGGCCTGTTAACGGATAAATGTTATTAGAGTATAAATAACAGAGCATCCAGGCGACCTTTGACCTCAATCGCGCTACGAACTGCAGCTGTCATTTTCGGTTTTTAGTAAGACCTATCAGATAGTTCTTCTAAACAAGTTGCCTAACTTATGTTAGTTGTTAAGCACTATTGATGAAACACATACACAAAGCGGGGGAGATTCTGTAGGGCACAATTCGCGACTTCCACAACTTTTGTCTGTTTCTAACAGCATTTCTTTTGATCAGATCTTTGGCTGCCCCGGGTCCGTCTGCATCGCCTTCCTCTCGTTGATCTACTTGCTTTTTTTCTTCATCAGACAGCACGATATCCGCCTCGTAAAGTTTATTTCGAACATCTAAAAACCCCAACAAAAAAATGTATGGTCATGTTTTCATGGGTTAAAATTTGGCGTTTCTTCCTCTAATTCTACATAACATCAAAATCTGCTACCTTCATTCTTCTTCTGGAGCTTCGATCTGTGCAGTTAGTAAGCTAAAATAGCCGCCAATCAAGATGGTATACAAAATGCTCTCTAGTTATCTAATATGTCATGTTTTGTTAAGGTACATCTATTCGTCCATAAAATAGAGTTTAAAAAAAACGGTGTTGTAGTTGTTGGTCAAAAAATGGCTTGACCTTAGTAAAATGCGCCAATTACATCTGGCAGTTTCCATACCACCTTTTTTTTCAACGAAGACTCCGTGGCCGGAATGCGCATGCCTGGTATGAGACCAGTCACTGCATTTTTATGATTGAAATGCAGTGGTAGCGCCTAGGAAAGTGAAAATATACCGAACATTTTTCATCTAAGTGTAGAAAGACGTTTTTCAATTGTTTTGATCTTTTGTTGCTATGGGTTGGCAACAGGCTGGCTCAAAATACTGATCTCACCGCACTCTGAAGGACACCGTTGTTTACGGCACATGGTAGAGAGTTTAAGCAACAACTATAGCGACGGCTTCAAACCTATTCCATCTCGTTCAATTCGACAAATTTTGGTAAGTTTTTCTTTAGTTGACTTCTAAAAGACTGTATCGAAGTTCAAGAAAAGAAAAAAAAAGTTGTTGTCGCTCTTGTGTTCACATCCTCAATAAAACGTGAAATTAATCAGTTCTCAGCACGTCGTAGTCATGCAGTGACGGCAAAGTTATGTACAAAAATGCGTGATGCAGGTACAAAGTTGTTCTTTTGCTTTAAATCTATTGCTTTTTTGCCGTTATTGTTGCCCTCGCCGTTTTTTTGCGTAAGCTCCTAAAGGGGTGGGGGAGGGGAGTAATGCCACACAAACCACGCAAAGCAGTTTTGCAAACAGACCAGTATTCAATCTTTCAATGCTGTTTAACACTGCGTCATCTTGCCTCTCGAGTCTAAACAGCTTCCTTGTCCCATTTCTTCTTGATATTCCTGTAAACCGATTATAAGAAAAATGCCGAGCGTAAGGTCCCAAAGTCAATTCAGGCTTACTATAGCCGGCATGTTGATATCTATTTCACGATTTACCAGCAATGGACGGTAAATAGACGTAGAATTCTAGACATAAACTCATGTCTTTTAATTTATGTGACTAGTATTGCGAAATTGTCATTCTTAACAGAGAATTCAATTCATAACATACCAGAAATGAAATTTGGACACGTGACACTTGACCATAGAAGGCAAAAAATTACCGTCGCTTGCATTGTACCCATTTCCAGCTCTGAAGCATGTTTGAGAAAATCCTTTTTTTCACTCCAAAGTCGAAGTCAATTCGGTTATTCTTATTCTTCCGTCAACCTGCTGATCTTTTCTTTTGGGTACCTGTTAACTGCCTGCTTGTTCAACATGTCCTCGAAAGCAGATACATAAAAATGTCGCCATAGCCATTATTTCCTTAGAAATGGTTCATTGCCCGGATTTAAATACCGAACTATTTCGGCTTGTCAGTACATTTGGCTTTCAGGACGGCATACTGCTTACTGGCTAACACAGACCGGAAACAATTACCCTGAAGTATTCGCAAGGCTTGCTGGGAAGATTGTAACCTCCAGGTATCCTCCATTGTAACTCGTTAATGATATTGAAAACCCGGCCTTTTGCTTTGTACCCGAACCGGTTTGACGCTAAAATTGAGAGGGTAATACAGCACGGAATATTCACCTAAGTGAATCAGCCATATACTGTAGCCATATTGTGACACAGGATCTACGAACATGGCCTGTATGTGAAACGGTTGAGAAGTGCTCAGAGTGTTTTATACGTTTTATTACGAACAGCGTCAGGGAGGGGGTCGCCTCCTTTTCGGCCAACCCGATACCCATCCCCACGATACATTTAAAATCAAGATTACCGCCCGTTTTTGTATAGTATATACAGGAAAATAGGGGACTGTAAACAGTCTTAGATCTCCCGCGATGCTTATTGTCTGATGAAACAGCCGACGTTTGGCGGCGAGACCATGCGCGACCATTGATAACGGTCGTCTTGCGAAAGGTTCTCCTCGTGGTACACTCTTTTATTTCTCAAAGCGTCAGCAAGGTGTAAGGAAATAATAAATTAGGCATTGCTTTTGTAGATTCTACTAGGTTTTTCTCCATGGGTAGCTGGTAATAGTTCCATGAGTGCCCTTCTGGTTCCTTTCGATCGTTCTCACTACAAGATCCGAGATTCTCGCTACATCGTAAGCGATGGAAAGGTTAAGGTCCTTATTTCACGTAATTCACTCGTAAAAGTACTCATTAGACGACAAACCTGAGGCCAACGGGGTGCTCATTTCATCCTATCTCTCTATCAATGCTCTATTTGACGGGTATTTAAAGCAGCACCTAAAGCTACACGGAATTCGAAAGCAAAGACTGAGTCGAAACAAGGATTTGAAGTCACTCCTGGAGATCGATTGCTGGCTCGGCTCCCGCCCACAAATAGAGGGCCGCGCGCTAACCGAATGGGAGTGCTAATTCTTGCTCCTGATATAAACTAGTTACAGCTATCGCTAAGTGCCAACAAGCAAAGATTTTAACTAAAGGGAGAGCTTGATCGCAGGCTACCCAACATTAAACAACAACCACAGCAATAGCAGTCTTTATTATTTAGCAACAAGTAATTAAGTTAATGTTGTTCACTATTATCACATAGACCATAATGCTCCTTTTTTCTCCCCGGAAATTTTGACTTTGACCGACTGTGGGCGCTTTCCATTCAACCAAAACTTTCAAAAATTTGGAAACAGCGTCAAATGGTACTGAAATTTCTTTTAAAAGTTTGCAGAAATTCCGGCCCGGAAACTGTTGAATTTCCTAAATGCGAACCATTCAACCGAAAATTCCTTTTGGAAATTTTTGAAAATACTGTTCCATTCGCTACTAGACGTTGCCGAAAGTTCAAACCGGACGTTTTGATTGAATGGAAAGCGCTCAGCCCGTAACTGGCCCAGGAGATCAGAAATTGTAAACAATGGTAACGAAAAATTTTGAGGAGTAAAGGTGCATTATGGTATATGTGAAAATGGTAAATTACTTATTTCTGTTCCAGCAGCTAAAACTGTAATTTATCTTCGCCTAAATTAGAGATGCTCTATTTGCTCGTGAGAGATTTCCTTCAGTTAAAATTTTTAAAATAGATTAAGTCTCCTATTTTTGTCGTTAATTGTTATCAGTTAATGTTAATCAGACATATATCCTGGGTTACAGAGGATATTTTTTCTTATCGATACTGATGGTTCGCGGTGAAGCCGCGTAAACGAGACAACGGTATTTTGAGAACAGACATCTGGCCGGTATCAGACATAACGAATTAATAGTTCAGAAAGTTGTAACAAGCTACGATTTGATAAAAGGTGGTCTAAGATACGAAAGTAAACCTAATGCATAAAACATACACCGTAAATCGGTTACCTTTTTTCCTCATAATTCAAAGTTGTTGGTCTGCCAGTTAGGCGTTTAACATATCTGTGTTTCTAATTTCAAGTAGTCTTATCTAATTGATTTATGTAATTATTTACAGCCGCATCTCATCGTTTTGAGACCATAATTATTTTATTCAATCTGTTTTTTTTAATTTGTGCTTATTTGGCTACTTCATTTTATCAAAGCAGCTATGTGAGTAATGACTAAATACAAAAGTGTCCACTGATCTTTTCATAGATTATATTCTAATAGTTTCCCTTTTTGTTCTTTTAACTCCATCCACTTCTTATCTCCATCCTAGCCAAAGAAAAACAATTTCAAAGTCAGTACTTTACCATGTGATTCACGCTATAGCAACAAGTGCAGTCTGTTAAGTTGGGAAAGCGTCGCATGCAGGAGTATGCTTTTACAACTTTTTTCCAAATAAAAACGATCCCTGAGTCATAGAGGGATATCAGATTGGATTATTTAGTAAACGGAAAAATAATTTTTGCTCCCGGTGTTAGTAGTTTTAGACGGATCTCTTTATTCGGCGGATTATTGCCTGGGAATCGATTCGGGATTGCGAATATTCTATTAATTATTGTTGTAGCTACCCTACCCCCTACCCCAATTCTAGGATTTGAATACTTTGGCCTAAACAGAGTCAGGGCTTCAAACGCTCAACGGCTAATCTTACCCAAATATTGTTTCAGTAGCCCCGCCCCCCGATGTTTCGGTAACCATTATTATCACATCAGCTGATTAAAAGTATTTTATGACACTGTAATAGCCTTTTTTGTTTTCCCGTACCTTGTCCTTTTTTCTTTCGTGATTTTGCACCCCCTTTCTTGCATTTCTTCGTCTTGCCTTCACATTTCTGGACTTCAACAAGCATTCCTTCACATATATCACCACCGAATTGTGGGGGAGGATCATTACACATCCGGGATCTCGTTTGATAGCCCTTACCACAGGTTACACTGCAGGCGCTCCACGGACCCCATCTTCCCCAACTACCGTTCAAGGGAACTGGAACCAAAATATTAGTGGGTTTAATTTTATCCTTTGGCTCAAATCTTATTTCTCTTTGTTTTAGGGTATGTTAATGTGCGATAAGGAGTTTGAAACAAAGGAAAATAAAATTTAAACCAAGGATAAAATTGAACCACAACAGACTGATTCCCTACTTCACAGCCTTAGGTAGACAAGCGCTACTTATGATTGGCTAATACCTGAAACCTCAAAACAAAGAAGCTCTATATAAGGGATTATTACGAATAATGAACGATAATCCTCGCCCCAAAAATAGTAAATAATGGAAAAAGAACCTATTACGAGACTTCGTTATACAAATGTACTGCTTGCCAGTCTCTTCACCTTTTGTTATATCGAGGTTCTACCATGGTTGCCTTGGATACCATCAACCAATTCAAACTAACCCTTATATACCCTAGCGATCCCAGATCACTGCAACCAAAGCTTGTACGGCATTCTTCCTTGAGTTTCTCAAGTGGTAAATTTCTTAATCAAAATGGCAGTTTTTGCGATAACTGATACTTAAAAATGAAATAATACAGACACTCTATGTAAAAAGTGTCAAAAGTGGTTGAAAATAATAGGCCTGGTCCAGCTTTGAACCTACCATTACACTCGTCGGTTTCACAGCGCTTTTTTTGGGACTGTATTCCGTCTGCGTCAACTCCTGGGCATTTTGATTTGTCCTTAGCAGCACAGAAGCGTTCCCGAACCACAGTGCATTTCTGGTCACAGGGTCCCCAATCTGTCCAACTACTCCAGCTTCCTTGGCGAGCTAGTTGAAAAGTACAGTATCGAGGAAAAAGCGCATATAACTTGGTCAATGATATTGACATATAACTTGGTCAATGATACTGAAATTCAAGCAAATGAAACTCAGTTTGCCGGACATCCAATCATGTCCGTTTCAAGGTTCATTTCATTAGGGTGCTTCATCCGTGCGATTTGCTTAAATTTTAGTGACGATTTTCGCGACAATTTATGGTGATGTTTCAGCGATTTTCATTTCAAAAAATGCTGCATCAATTCTACGCTTTAGGTATATCTCGTGCGAAAAAATAGCGATACATTGCATAAACATTCCATCAGTTTTGAAACAATGTTAAATTTGAGTAAAAGCAATTTTAATTAGCGCCATAAAATTCTCGATGTAAACTTCGGGCCTTTAGAGCGGTATCTATGCAGTAGAAGAGTGGAAGGACCGCACGGTATGCCGGGAGATCGACTGTGGTGCGAAGCATTCAGGCGCACGCCGAAGGATGATGATGATGATGATAGAGATGGCCGATTAAAAAAAATAAGTTGTTACCTTTCTTAAGAAACGCTTACTTTTGCAGTCGTACATGGCATTTAACTGTAGAATATCCGTCTTGCTTAGTTTTAATGTTCTTCCAAATTGCAGCTTGGGATTTTTAAGGGCTACCAGCGTCGGTTTCCTGTTTTTGGAGAATGCATAGTTCCCATAATGCATTAAGCTGTCAAAGTCGTACATTCCACCCGCGAAGTCTACTTCCGATGCAGGATACTTGTTGAAGTTTTTTTCTTGACCTGAAGAAAAAAGCAGTGTAAGAAACTTGAAAATAATTAATTCACATATCATGATATAACTTACTAGTAAACAGATTTTTAATGTGGCTTAAAAGTTGCATTTTCTGTCAGGGTTAGTTGAAACACTTCGCCCTTTAAGGGGCATCTCTAAGATTTTTCTAACTTTAAAAACAAAAACCGGGAAGATAAAGTTTTTCCTCCAAAGTTACCCCATCGTAGCCCTGTCAAGAGGTCTCGAGAAGCTCATTATGCAATCAATTCTTATCATACCTGGTTTGATATTTTGCCATTGCACGGACAGATACTTATCTCTGTCAGTGCGGGATTGCTCGTGCCAGAAACCGATGGCGTGCATAATCTCATGCAGAATGATGCCTTTACTGTTACATCCAATGCCTATGGAGACTTCTTGTTTACCAGGAACAGAATATTCTCGGCCAACTTTTGAGGAACAACTAAAAAAGTAATATTTAAGTTAAGCTTGCTTATGCGGAGTACAAAGACAATCCAAACAAGGGGATAGTTAACAAGTTCAACATTATTGGACGATGTTGGGTATATAATCATGTTGCTAGTTAGACCAATCAAGCGGCATCTACCAACTAAGCCGTAAATTCATATGTTGAATGTGACAAATGTTTTAAAGTGTCATTAATGCGATCCAAACAGTAACATACACATGTTTAACCCTTTAACTCCCAGAAATGATTGACATGTAACTTCTCCTTAGAACACCCAATACATTGTCCAACAGATAACTGGTGAGAATAGCCATATTCATCAGCCTGAGGATGTTGTATTGATAAAACCGCAAATTCTCATATTTAACATTCAATAAAATGTATAGCAGTCAGAAAAGACAATTACTAATCATATCTTGGAAGTTAAAGGGTTAATCGTCCATGTTCCTTCGCAGACAAGAACAGAGAAAATATTGTTTCTTTTGACGGAACAGCGAGTTCAAATTGTACCGCGTCAAATCTAACCATCCAATTACGTCAAAATGGTGGATCCACTCCTTCACTCCTAGTAGTCACACCTAGCACAAAACGGCAGATGTACACAGCACGTTTTATCACAACGCATGCCCAAATTACAACCTCTGACCTTAACCTATAGCTAACGTCACACATTTTTACGGCCTAACGATTATCTTGCTGAATGTGCTCTCCATGCCGGCTACCAGATCAGGGTAAGAAGGTTTATAAGGACATACCCATTTTTTCTGACAAACTGAATCCAATGCTTGTCTGCAGCCTCTTTGTCCTTAAATCGAACGCAAGAAACATCGTGAATCTCCTTCATTGCTGCTAATATGTTTGGACGAACGTCATCTGTAAAAGGGAAACTTAAGTGAGAAACTTACATTTCTGATAACATTGTGAGTACCAAAAGACGAGCTTTGCCATCCAAAACATTTCTATTTATTATAAGTGAGAAACGTACATCTCTGATAACGTTTTACAGACTAAAAGACGAGCTTAGCCATCCAAAACATTTCTATCCAAACAGAATACACAGTTCGAAAAAGCAGCCTGTGAATAGGCTCCCGTTCGCCTCCCCATCCGTTTTAGCTTTCTATCCTTGGTTTCTCCTTGTCTCATACACCCAAGAAAGCCTGTAAGGCTAGAAAAAAATCATGACGAAGTCATGGCGGCTCTCGACAAAATAGAACACATCGGAGAAAAACTTAACTCCATCATTGATAGACTGAGTAAACTTGACTCAATCGAAAGCACAGTAAGAAATATAGAAACCAATTTGGCGAATCTCAAGGTAAGAACAGCAAAGCTCGAAGAGTTTCAAGCAACGGCCAAGACTGACATAGCTGATCTAAAGAAGTCTTGCAGTTTCAATACTGACAAATGTAAGGAATATCGAGATGATTTAAAAAATAAGATTGACGAGCAGAATGAAAGAATTACCTCTCTGATTGAGAGTGAGAAGAAACTCAACCACCAAATGGACGAGATCATATCCAAGAACCTTTATCTCGAAGCTTACTCCAGGAGAGAGAATATTAAATTTTTTAATATCCCTGAAGCACGAGAAGAAGATACCGAAGAAGTTCTAAGAAGTTTCATGGAGAGAGATCTCGGATATCGTAATGGCCGCAGCGTGGAAATCCAACGCGTACACCGTCTATCAAACCGACGTAACAGCAACACAGCTCCACGTCCTATAATCGCCAGATTTCTTCGATATAAAGATGTCGAGGAAATTTTCTCCTTGGGCCGACGTCTAGAGGGGACCGATTTCCAAATGTTCCGCGATCTTCCATTGGAAATCATCAAGCGCCGGAAAGATCAAATGACAGTTTTCAAACAAGCACGACGACAAGGTATGAGAGCATCTTTCAGCAAGAGCCAGCCCGACAAGCTGTTTATAAACGGCAGTTTCTGGCCTCCGGGCAAGTGCCTCGATGCAACAGAAGCAGCTGAGTAACTGTTTTTCATGATTGTACCTCAGAACTTTACTCTCCTTTTTTATAAATTTAGGGTGGCGGGCGGCTTAGCTGTCCCGACCGGTAATAACTACTCGACCAGGTTTTTGCTTTCCTTTACGCGCCCGCTAGCCACTTGAAACCCCAATCTGATAAGGTTTTTTTATAGTTAAATTGTTTATGTTTTGTTGTGTTATTTTTGGTTACTTTAGCTGTTTTATATGTAATTGTTTGTGTTTCCGTGCCACCAGTTTGCTTTTCGTACTAGTACAATGCTGTTTTGTCGATTCCAGTGTGCATAGCTTTATAAACTACATCGATAAAATTATACCTACAGCTTTCCGATGCAATCTTTTCTTTCAAAGCTTAAAAATTACAATTTCTGAGCTGTATGCAAAACACCTTCGCTCGGCCATAACGCTGTTATTGTCGATTAATCAAACAGTGCAGTTATCTATTATATCCCCTTTTTTTTATATACAAAATAGATAACAATACTATCACGGTAGCTTCTCTTAATGTACGGGGCCTTGGGAATAACGTTAAAAGAAGAGAAATTTCTAATTGGCTCAGATCTAAGAAATACTCGATTTACATGCTGCAAGAAGTACATTGTTCGCAAGAAAATTCACACCTATGGGCTGCTGAATGGGGGTACAAAAGTCTTTTCAGCTCATTTTCCAGCAGTAAAGCTGGGGTAAGCATTCTTTTCAACAATAATTTCGATCTTCAAATTATGAAAACTTTCATCGATGACTCAGGGCGCCTTATCTTGTGTGACTTAAAAACAAATGGAAAAAGTATAACCTTAGCAAATATTTACGCGCCTAACGAAGATGATCCAGCTTTTTTTAAGAATCTCCTTGAAGATTTCGAAGGAGAGGAAATTATTATTGGAGGCGATTTCAATCTCGTCCTTGATGTAGAGAAAGATAAAAAAGGTGGCCTGCCCAGAACACATCACAATGCGCAAAAAACCATTTATGAGATATGCGATAACCTCGAGCTTGTTGATGCTTGGAGAATATTGAACCCCGAAGAAAGAAGGTATACATGGCGCCAAACACAGCCTACTGTCCACTGTAGACTAGATTTCTTTTTAACAAGTCAGAGCTTTCTGGGTAGCATTACCTCCGCAAACATCCTACCGGGCTTTAAGACAGACCACTCAATGATCACATTAAATATATCTCTGCATTCAAACCCAAGAGGACCTGGTTTTTGGAAACTCAACACATCGCTTCTGGCCGATAAGGATTATATCGATTTGATAAGGTTAACCATCCAGGAAACAGAGAGCGAATACGCAAATGATAAGTCAATAAACCCTGCGCTCCTTTGGGATATGATCAAACTTAAAATTCGAGAGAAATCTCTTAGCTTCGCTACTGCCAAAAAGCGTAAAACTTCACATAAACAGCATGAGCTAGAAGAAAAAATCGCCTTACTAGAAAAAGAACTTGAAGAGCCTTCTGTCAGCGAAACGCAAAAAACAAATAAAACAGAACAACTTGAGCTATCCAAAAGTGAATTAGAAGAGATAATTAAAGTACGTACCCAAGGGGCAATCTTGAGATGTAAAATTAAATGGTACAATGAAGGCGAAAAAAACACTAAATATTTTCTAAACCTTGAGAAAAGACATTTCAAACTGAGTACAATAAGCCAGCTTAAAATCACCGATCTAAAATTTATCACATCTGATAAGGAAATCCTTGCTGAATGCGAAACCTTTTACAAAGAGCTCTACACATCCCAGGAAAATGTGATACCAACAGACAGCGATTTTTTTCAACCTGAAAACGAAACGTCTCTGGACGACAACGAGGCAACGAGTTGCGAAGGATATTTAACCGAACAAGAGTGTCTTAAAGCTTTAAGAAGCATGGATCGAGACAAAACCCCTGGAACTGATGGACTCCCTGCCGAGTTCTACAAAATTTTTTGGAAAGACTTATCTCCTCTTTTAATAAGTGCACTCAACTATTCATATGATAAAGGAGCCCTTTCGATCACACAGAGACGCGGAATCATTAAACTCATACCAAAAAAAGACGCAGAACCGCACTTCATTAAAAACTGGCGGCCCCTTACTCTCCTCAACTGCGACTACAAAATAGCTGCGAAAGCAATCGCAAACCGAATAAAATCTGTTATCCCAAAACTTATCAATAACGACCAGACCGGTTTCCTAAAAGGAAGATTTATTGGAGAAAACATTAGATTGATAGATAACATTATAAATTACGCTTCTCAACAAAATATCCCTGGGCTATTGCTCTTTGTAGATTTTGAAAAAGCCTTTGATTCGCTTGAATGGTCTTTTATTGAGCGCACGCTCCAGCACTTTGGTTTCGGCTCTTCTTTGATAACCTGGATTCAAACATTTTACAAGAACATCGAAAGCTGTGTCCTAAACAATGGCTGGACGAGTTGTTTTTTTCAACCACAAAGAGGTGTTAGGCAAGGTTGCCCTCTTTCGCCGTACCTATTTATACTATCTGCTGAAATTTTAGCTAAAGCAACCAGATCGAACAAGAATATTAAAGGAATATCTGTAAACAACTCAGAAATTAAAATTAGCCAGTACGCAGATGACACAACTTTCATTCTTAACGGTACTAGAGATTCATTATCCGCCACACTTAAGATGATCGAGGCTTTTAGCAGTATGTCTGGTCTAGGACTCAACAGTAAAAAGACTGAAGCTCTATGGATTGGATCAATGGCAGGAAATAAGGAAAAACTTCTTCCCGAGAAGAATTTTAAATGGCCAGAAAACAAAGTTAAGGTCCTTGGCGTTTGGCTTTCTACCTATCCTGATATCACATTAAGCTTAAACTACAGGGAAAAAGCGGACAAAATTAAAAACATATTAAGCAATTGGAAATATAGGCGGCTAACGTTACTCGGCAAAATCCAAGTTATTAAAAGCTTAGCGGCATCTCAACTTACGCATATTTTAGCTCCGCTGCCGACAAATCATAAAATTATCAAAGAAATAAACGATCTTTTCTTCAGCTTTCTTTGGAACAATAAGTGCGATAAGATTAAGCGAAGTGTCATGACAAACGACTATAACAATGGAGGGTTAAAAATGATTGACATCGCTTCATTTACCAAATCGCTCAAGACTGTTTGGATCAAAAAATACCTCGACGACTCTAACTGCGGAAAATGGAAATACTTTTTTGAAGTAGAACTTAAGAAGCACGGCGGCAAACTAGTCTTCACATGTAATTTACACAAACGTGACATTTCAAAGTCGATATCGGTCCAAGACCCATTTCTACAAGAAATTTTAGAAATATGGTCAGAAATTAATTTTGATGCTAACATCAAAACCGAGCAGCAATTCCTTGAACAACATATATGGCATAATTCGCTGATTAGGATCGAAAACAGACCGGTCTTCTACAAACATCTTTTCCTGCATGGAATCACTAAGGTAGCCCACTTAATGACAGACTCGCGGAATTTTCTCCCCCCTAGCAGATTTTATCAGCACTTACAAAATACAAATACAACCCATAAAGTACTTCGGCTTAATTTCTGCCCTTCGACACCATTATAACACTAACTTTCTTAGTAAAGAACCTAGTAGCACAGACATTCCCAATACCTGCCCCGAGACCTTCTCCGAGACTTTTTTCAAGAACGATAAAGTGAACAGAGTTGTATACCAGAAGCTCCTCTCTTCCAAAAGCACTGTACCGTTTAAGAGCCAAGAGAAATGGAATGACAGCATTAAATCCGACCAAAGATGCTCTGCTGACTGGACCAGCGCCTATTGTCTGGCAGCTAGGTGCACAAAAAGCACAAAACTTGTAAACTTTCAATTTAGATTCCTTCACCGAATTTTACCAACGAACCTTTTCCTAACAAAAATTGATATAAAGCAGGACCCGAACTGCTCTTTCTGTACCATCCATCCCGAATACCTAATCCACCTCTTCTGGAACTGTACAATAGTAGCCACCTTTTGGGAAAATTTGACTGAAAAACTAAAGCAGATCAATCTAATAACGATAGATTATCCAAAATACACTGCTGTATATCTGGGCCTGAAACCAGACACCTCCAAGTTTTCACTTCAACTAAATTTCTGCTTTCTCCTGGCAAGATATTATATATGGAGCTGCAGGGTCAACCAGAAAATTCCGAATTTAACAACTTTTCTTATGTCCCTTAAATCGCAGTTTTACACAGAGGCCAACAACATTGATGCAACTTCTAAGAAATGGAATCCTTTACGTCCACTTCTCAACATTGCATAGCTTTTGGTAAAATAAAAGCTTTCCTATGTATCCATTTTCTGTAAATGAACCAAGGCCAAAGTGCAATTGAGAGCTAGACATACCGCCAATATTTCTTAATTACTGAGTATCTATTTCACATATCTTTCCGCACTGTTTATTAATCATCTTATTAATCATCTAATTATGCATATTTATGATTTCTTTTAATATTAGCAATTGTTGTCAATGTTATCTCAAGTAGTTATTGCTAAAAACCGTTTTAGGCAGAGGAGTCGCCTTTTTTCTTTCTTTCTTCTCTTCTCTTTTCTTTTCTTTTCTTTTCATTTATTTATTGTCTTTAGTAGTCCTTTTGTTTGTTGTAAACTAGTTTTAGGTATTTTAATGTAAGTAAGTAGCAAACAAGTAAGTAGTAAAGCTGTAACGTAAGTAAATTTTGTAGTCTTGTTGTAAGTAAGTACCGTTTAGCTGTATTGTAAGTGAATGCCAAGTGTGATTATAAAATAAAATAAAATAAAAAATAAATAAAATAAAAAAAAAAATAGAAAAAAATCAGGATGGTATTCGCGTCAGTAAGACAGATTTATTTAACAATGTTTCTCTTCATATTAGAACAGAGGCAGAAGCAAAGAAAATGGCTCACTCATGCCACTTGAGATCGCAGCTGGGATGATCCTAGAAGGCCAGATCTTTCGGCGCGTGCGTATTCCTTTTCTTTTATGCCCAATACTCTCCACCTCAACTTTAGCGCCCTTCGCATCACCAGTCTCACTTGTGTCCACTCCACGCTCACGAACGTCTTGCCGGGTCAGAACGATGTCAGCTTCGAAAAAGTTGTTCTTTCTTTCTAAACGTGAAACAAAGAATAACAATGACGGATTGTGTAATACTATTATTCGTTTGTATTAATCTAACAAGTTTCGTCTTTTTTTTTTAATTATCACTTTTTCAGATGATAATTCCAACACCACAAAACATAACGGGCACTTCACGCAGCAACTCACGACAAAGGATTCAAATAATTAACTCCTCGTAATCAGATATACTTACCGTTTGGTTTATAGTGTTGGCTTCAAAGAGCAGAAAATCACAAAATTGAAAAGAGATTCCCGACTAGCTGGAGTACACTAGCTGGCAATGGCAAGTACAAGCGGGACACCCAGGTCAAATTCAGGGCTTTAGGGCCTTTTTACATGGAGGTGGGGGACCCCAGATAGGTGAGGTAAAATGCCGTGGGTCACCCCACCTATCATGTAAACGTGATCACATTAAAATGAGAGATTATGTGGACAGGCGGGTTACCCACCAAAGTGGGTTACCTCACCTACCTGGGGTCCCCCACCTCCATGTAAACAGGCCCTTAATCGTTCAGAGACCATGCTCCCAGCGTCACCCAATTATTTAAAGCTCTGGAGGAGATTATCAGTGCACGAGAGATCTCTCTTTTGCCATGACATTTTTGAAAGAAAAGGGTACCAAGGCTGAACTGTTTCAAGGACGGTTTGTAAATTGCCTGACAATGAGTAAATTAATACAGTTTTAAAAATAATCGTACCAAATTAGTGTGTGAAAGTAGATATGAATTATGTCTTTCTCTTTTCTTGATTGACATAGTTTTAATTTCCAATTTTTTTTCGTTTCTTGTTTATAGGCTCCAATATTCACCTGCTCAATTATCTTTACGTTGCTCTTACAAAGCTTGTTACATCATTACAGTTACATTTTTGGAAAAAAATAAAATACTAGAATACTTTACTTTTATAACTACCCAAATTTCGGTAGTGCGTCTGATTAGTTAAAGCAGATTTCCCGCGCGTTACGTCCAATCATAAGCACATATCTGGGTGGAGCCGAGTGGTGGCTTCACGAAATGTCGACTGTTTTCTTGAGTTAGGTGGTCAGGTACTAGCTTGAACTGTATTGCATTTTTCTACTCTTTACATAGAATAAACTAGGGAAGGATTAAGCTTTAGAAAACAGCTTAAGATTCTCACCGTCGTTGATCTCCTCGATTTGATCTATGACTGTGTTGTCCTTCAAGGTTTTTGGTACCGTTTTGTCTGTTCCATCGAACACGCGCACATGCGGGGGTCGTTTCACTGGAAAATTAGAAAATGGGAAAATTTATTCATTCTTCGATTGAAAAATCCACACGTGAATCCACACGTGAATCCATGACTTAAAATGAGCCTCGATTTAATATACCCTTCCACTGACGGATTTTCTGCAAATTCTGAGACTGAAATGGCGAAAATTAGTGAACACGAATGGAAAGAACGCCCTAAAATTAGTAAAGTTGCCAAGTTTGAAAGTCAATGTCGAAAACTAACGAAAATGTACATTCGCAAATTCGCGCATTTTTACAGATGTTTGTTTTGTCTGTGTGTGGGACAAGTCCGTACTCCCCAGCATACAAACGTGTGTAAAATTTCGTAACTTTGTGGCGCAACATCTTTGCTTACTTTGGACAAATTACCTTAAAACTTGGTCAGTTTCCTATTTTTAATACGCGCTCTTTCTAGCAGTGTTGATGGATATTCGCTTACTGATCTTTATCAAAACTTGCCATATGCGGAATCGTTACCTTCAGTTCTAAATTAAGATGGCGTAAAGAATTAGTTTAAGACGGATTATTACGAATCTGGGAACGCCTCGTCCAGAGCTTTCCGACTGACGAATTTAGAAAGTTATACAATCAGGGTTTTGGAACATGAAATATCAACAGTGTAACAGCGAGGCGACAACAAATTCTAGACCATTACCAACGCTATAGAACTGTGGGCCTTCCTCACACAGTCAGCGGTAGCCAGGATCGAAATCATCATTACTGAATATTGAATTGTTCATTTCATGAATTGGATTAGAGTAGTAGTCAATCAACAAAAGGAACCCATTTCCCATTAATGACTTCATTAAGCTTCATTACTTAAGACTTGTACGCATGGCCGGCTTTGCCTGTAAGGGTTTTCAAAGAAGGAGAAGTTACTTGTAAAAAAAACTTCAACGAATAATTAAAATTACCGATTGGACCAAAAATTTTGCACTTAAGTTGTTCTTACCGTGCTTTTCTGTTGGATGTGAAACACAAACTGCAAACCAGAACAGAAATGTAGCAAAAAACATCTGCAAAAAGAGTGACGGGAAAGATTATTCTTATTTCTTTTTAAAGTCAGCCATTAAATTGTTATCCTTTAAGCCCACTGTATCCACTGACTAGTAGTCCACATAAAGAGTCGTAGCCCACGCGAAGAGAATGTTGCACTCTGTACCTGGATTGATTTTTTGACAAAGTACTTACAGTTTAAATATACGGTTGATATAGCGATCAAATCTTGATTTGCGAAACTTTACGCGCACGTAAAAAATTGATGATCGGGAGCTTAAGCAACGACGACGGAGACGGCAAAGAGAACGGAAAAATATTCAGTAGGTTTGGATTAGCACTCAACTTTGTACGTGCATCACGCTTTTTTGTACATTTTATTCCTATGTTGTACGACTACGACGAGAAAATTCCCATTTTCACGTTTTATGAAGTAAAACAGAAGAAAATGATTTTCTTTTTACAACTTAGGCCCAGTTCATACGTCGTGCTTTGGCCGTGCCGAACTTAATTCTGGAATGAAGTTCGACATAAGCACGGCAGAAGCATGACGTCTGAATCAAAGTTTTTAATTTGGTGCTGCAGAACAATTAAGTTCGACAAGATCTGTAGTGCTACATGACTCTGGTACAGCAGCGATTTAAACGTCGTGCTTTGTCGAACCTAATGCATAAATTTCGGAAAATGTATTTTCGCGGATACCAGCATGCGCATTGAGTCTGTTTATTACCACAAAGCTCCTTTGCGCATGACGGCCAGGAATCAGAGGCGTGGCTGAATAGCTATATGGCTAATTTCGGTGCAAGTTTGCATGCTCCTTCCTGCTTGGTTTGCAATGCTGCAGAGTTCAATAATTCATCAGGAGACGAACTACCTTTTGACGAAAATATTCCATTAGCTGGCTATGAAGAACAAGATGAAAAGGAAGACGAGGAAACGATCGGCGATGTTTCAGTCCTTGTCACGGTACACGAGGAATAAGAAGAGCAGCAAAAAATAAAACTTCCATTAATAACATTCGCCTGGCGGTCAAAAGGAAAAGGATTTTCTGCTGCATTCCTTTTAATTTCTTCGCCTCCTCGAGTTTTGTAAGAGTTTTTCACTGCTTACCGCTGTACTGACTCCTGTGCGAACACCACTGAATCATTCGACTCTGGCACGCGTCTGAATTGAAGTCGCGCTTCTGTCGAACCCAATACTAGGGACTTTAAGGTGATGTTACGCAACGACGATTTTTAGCTCAACACAGTGTGGCAATGTTGGAACAATGTTGAAACTATTCGAAACAATGTCGCAACAATGTTGCAACGCTGTGTTGCGCTAAAAATCGTTGTTGCGAATCGTCCCATGTAACATCACCTTTAAGATTCAACGATGCGACGGAATGTAAGAACATCTAAAAAAACAATAGGTTTAATAAGCAAAACAATTGCACGTGCATCACGCTTTTTTGTACATTTCTTTGCTGTTTCTTCACGACTACAACGTGAAAATGCCTAATTTCGTGTTTATAGAGAACGTAAACAAGCAACGACGAACTTTTATTTCGCTTTCTGAACTTGAATATGGTCCCTTGGAATTCAGATTCGGGAGGGTTCGCGTACATTTGACAAAGTAAGTAAGTAGGAATATGAGCGATAAAGACTGAAAGAACGCAAATTCACTCTTTACGCCACCTTCTCGTTGCTGTAGCGTCGTTGGATCTTAAAGTCCCTATCGCTTAGGTTCTGCACGGCAGAAGCACGACGTATGAGGTGGGCCTTAGACTCAGTTCTCTAGAAATCAACTCCAGGAAAACAATTTACCGATATTCTAAAAAATGAACGAGATGAAATAACTGCGATGAAATTAGAAACAGGGCGAATTCTAAGTAGCCTACTGAGAAAACATCCGACATTTCGCGACCACTGGTTTCCCCCCGAAACGAGAAGTGGGCGTCGAGGAATGTCAGCTGTGGTAATGCCATGCAAATTTCGTGCTCGATTTTTCTTTTGTCCGCTCTTTTCTCCCCTTGAAATTTTTATCCCGACCTTATTCTCGAATTTTTTCCCGACTTTTTTCGCGACTTTTTTTCTTGACTTTCATCCCAACTTTTGCCCCAACTTCTGATTCTAGACTTTTTCTCTACTTTTTTCCCGATTTTTTCCACCGCCCAATTCCAAGGCTCACTCTTGCGTAGAAGTGCTTAAACATGGCCAGATTTAATTCTTAATTGGCTTTGTAACTATTTTGTTTATCTCTGAAAATGTGTTACAGTGTCGGGCAATTTTTTTTCCTGGTTTCCTCCCTATCAAGGCAATGCGAGGAGGTGTTTGAGAGTTACTACCATTATAGTAGAATTTGGTAAGGTAAATTGTTAAACATTTTATGTGTTGTTTAGAAAAGGCCTTTGTATATTGCTCGCATATCAACCTTAGCAAACTATGTGATAAAACTGAAAAAAACTCAAATCGCCTAAAATGTTGGCATTCTTTTGAGCGCGCGCTAGCTTTCGTAAAGCCAGCTCCATAGCCGTAGGATGCTTACCATGATTAGTCTACTTTTTCTTATCCTGAGGAAGTCAATCCAAGCTATTTTAGGAACAATATTCCGATTTTGATCGAAATTTACATCATACAACTGTAATTACCCTTTGTAGATCTTCGTTTACATCGCGAAACAAGGTTTTCCTAATCTTTCTTGCGACAGTCTCGCGCATCTGTAATTCCATATTAGCAAATAAATTTTGATTGGTTCTCCGCAAAA